CATCCTCCGGGAGGATGGTGAAGTGGGCAATGATGTTAACTCAATTCAATATTGAGTACCGGCCAAGGTCAGCAATCAAGGGGCAGGCCCTAGCTGACTTCCTTGTAGAAATGACCGGTCTAACTCCAGACTTACCGGTCAACAAGCCCACTGAGCAATGGTGGGAGATGGCAGTTGATGGGGCATCCGGTCCTAGAGGATACGGGGGTGGTATCGTGTTCACCACACCAGAAGGATTCAAGATCTACCATGCAATCATCTTCAACTTCAAACTGACGAACAACGAGGCGGAATATGAAGCTCTGGCTGGAGGGCTCAGAGTTGCCCAAGCCCTGAAAATCAGCCGGATCAGTATCAAATCTGACTCTAGCCTGATAGTAGGGCAGGTGACCGGTAACATGGAAGCAAGGGAAGGACGCATGGCACAATACAAAGACCTTGTACTTGCCCTGTTGAAAGACTTCGAAGAATTCAAGATCGCCCAAATTCCCCGGGCGGAGAACGCGGATGCAGATCTTCTCTCCAAATTGACGCAATATGCTCCCGAGCATGTTTCGAAACTTGCCCGGGTAGAGATCCTTGACCGTGCAAGCATCGAGAAATTGGAAGTCGCCGCTATAACGGCCGGAAGCCAGTTTGACCGGTCAAACTTGGTCGGGGCGGACGATCATTGGATGTGTGATCTGATGGAATATTTGACGGATGGGAGCTTGCCAGAACAAGATGACCGGGCAAGAAAAGTGAAGCTCAGGGCGCCCCGATTCCAAATTCTTGATGGAAAGCTGTATAAAAGGGCATTTGGGGGGCCACTCCTGAGATGTCTGACTAACCGGGAGGCTGAACGAGTCATAGCGGAAGTCCACGAAGGCGTATGCGCGGCGCATCAAATGTCTCGTACGCTTTCCCAGCGCATTATCTTGTTGGGGTATTACTGGCCAACAATTGTCCAGGATTGTGAGAGGTATGTACAGAAATGTAAAACATGTCAAGTGTTCTACAAGTACCCCGGTAGACCAGCGACCTACTACCACCCCGTATCGAATGTCATCCCATTCGCTAGATTCGGGGTTGATATCATTGGAGCCTTCCCAGTCGCCCAAGGAGGGAAGAAGTTTGTAATCGTAGCCATCGATTACTTCACCAAGTGGATCGAGGCCGAAGCATTGGCCAGCATTACGACGGAACAATGCAAGAAATTCGTTTGGAAGAACATTATCACAAGGTTTGGAGCGCCCATGAACCTCATCACCGACAACGGCCCACAATTCCGAAATCCAAGATTCACTGAATACTTGGAAGGCTTCGGGATCAAGCACAATCGTTCCTCGGTAGCGTACCCCCAAGGGAATGGCCAAGTCGAAAACGCCAACCGAACGATTGTGGATGGTCTAAAGAAACGGCTGGGAGAAGCAGGAA